TTTTTAGAGGTAGGGGGAAACCGCAGCACCCGGAGGAAACCTACAAATGCAAACTCCACTCAGAAAGACCCTGTTCCGACCGGGATTCGAACCCGTGCTGTTTCTACCCATTTCTAATACATTCTGTAAGTTCTTCTAAGTTTGCTGTTTATTTTTCCATCTTGTTTCTTCTTCTCTTCAGCCTCTGCCGCCTCTTCCTGTTGGTCTGTCTCGGGGCGGGTGTGGCTCCGCCTGCCTGCCTGTCTGTGCAGTGAGAGCAAAGTCCACATCATGTTTCTAGCCCGTTCAGACGCGACTCTTGCGCTGGTTCTGCCTCTGATCTGGCGGCTCCTCGTGTCCGTCCAGTGAGCCGCCGCTGCTGCTGGCCGTGAGTAAATGCCAGCCTCTCTTTGGCCGTGGCCTTTACCAAAGCTCCTGTCGGGGCCGCGGAGCAGGGGCCGGTGACACATGCAGTGATTCCTCCACTTCAGCCGCTTTCGGACACAAAGGAAAACATTTTGGTGTGTCTTATTTTGCTCTGACTGTTGACCTTCTCCTGCACCTTTCAGCCCGAGGACTGGGAGCTGCTCAGACCTCTACACACTCTGAGATAGCATCAACACGTACTGCAGTTACAGACCAGAGAGAGAGAGACCAGAGAGAGAGAGAGACCAGAGAGGACCGCAATGCTTACAATATCATCCACGTGGAGAGGAGAGAGAGAGCAGAGAGAGAGATCAGAGAGAGAGAGAGATCAGAGAGACCAGAGAGAGAGAGAGACCAGAGAGGACCGCAATGCTTACAATATTATCCACGTGGAGAGCAGAGAGAGAGAAGAGAGAGAGCAGAGAGAGAGAGAGATCAGAGAGACCAGAGAGAGAGAGAGAGAGCAGAGAGAGACCAGAGAGAGAGAGCAGAGAGAGAGATCAGAGAGCAGAGAGAGACCAGAGAGAGAGAGAGAGAGATCAGAGATCGAGAGAGAGAGAGAGAGAGAGACCAGAGAGACACCAGAGAGAGAGAGAGAGATCAGAGAGAGAGAGAGAGAGAGAGAGAGAGAGAGAGAGAGAGAGAGAGAGACCAGAGAGAGAGAGAGAGAGAGAGATCAGAGAGAAACCAGAGAGAGAGATCAGAGAGAGAGATCAGAGAGACCAGAGAGAGAGAGATCAGAGAGAGAGATCAGAGAGACCAGAGAGAGAGAAGAGAGAGAGATCAGAGAGAGAGATCAGAGAGAGACCAGAGAGAGAGACCAGAGAGAGAGAGCAGAGAGAGACCAGAGAGAGAGACCAGAGAGAGAGAGAAGAGAGAGACCAGAGAGAGACCAGAGAGAGACCAGAGAGAGAAAGCAGAGAGAGAGAAGAGAGAGACCAGAGAGAGAGAGCAGAGAGAGACCAGAGAGAGAGACCAGAGAGAGAGAGAAGAGAGAGACCAGAGAGAGAGAGCAGAGAGAGACCAGAGAGAGAGACCAGAGAGAGAGACCAGAGAGAGACCAGAGAGAGAAAGAAGAGAGAGACCAGAGAGAGACCAGAGAGAGACCAGAGAGAGAGACCAGAGAGAGACCAGAGAGAGACCAGAGAGAGAGACCAGAGAGAGAGAGAAGAGAGAGACCAGAGAGAGAGAGCAGAGAGAGAGAGAAGAGAGAGACCAGAGAAAGAGAGAGAGAGAGATCGAGAGAGAGAGAGAGAGAGATAGAGAGAGACCAGAGAGAGACCAGAGAGAGACCAGAGAGAGACCAGAGAGAGAGACCAGAGAGAGAGAGCAGATTAAATGTCCACCTTTATGAACGGCAAAGTTTATTTAACGATTGCAAATAAAATAGTTCCCAAAGGTTTTACCGTTGCTCGGCAACGTGCCACGGCTAGGCAAGTCAAACAGCTAGGCTAGCAACTCATTTATATTAAACGTTCCTGCTGGATGAGGACGTGCGCTAAAGCTCGATGAGGAAGTGGCCGAAACTACTTGTGGATTACACCTGAATTACAAGCGAGTGCGTTGCCAAAGGGCAGCGGCCATTATAGGTTTGAGAGTCTGTTCAAATCAAGTGTTCTTCTTCTACTGTGAGGAGCCGTGTAAAACCTCTGTCTTTAGCATCAAAAGGTCTAAAATCTCCAACTTTAGTGAGACAAAGAAGCAAGACGACTTTAGCTTAATAAACAGCAGTATAAACAGCTGTATATTCTAGTGCAGTAATATATAGGTGTGTGTTTACACCTGTGCACCAGGCTCTGGGACTAAGGGGACATTATTATTTTTTAAGTCTATTTTGCGTAATGTAAATCACTGGTTTCTGCAATATCTAGTTTGAACCTGTGTGCTGCTCCAGAGCGCTGTGCCGCGGCTGTGCTTCTCCAGAGCGCTGTGCTGCGGCTGTGCTTCTCCAGAGCGCTGTGCTGCGGCTGTGCTTCTCCAGAGCGCTGTGCTGCGGCTGTGCTTCTCCAGAGCGGCTGTGCTGCGGCTGTGCTTCTCCAGAGCGCTGTGCTGCGGCTGTGCTTCTCCAGAGCGCTGTGCTGCGGCTGTGCTTCTCCAGAGCGCTGTGCTGCGGCTGTGCTTCTCCAGAGCGGCTATGCTTCTTACGAGCGGCTGTGCTTCTCCAGAGCGGCTATGCTTCTTACGAGCGGCTGTGCTTCTCCAGAGCGGCTGTGCTTCTTCAGAGCAGCTGTGCTTCTCCAGAGCGGCTGTGCTTCTCCAGAGCGGCTGTGCATTCTTGAGCAGGCGTGTGTCTCTGTGAGGAGGTGTTAGTCTCTGGTCTATAGGTCCACCCTAAATGAGGCGCAGCCTCGCGTCATACGTCCGTCATACGTCCGTCATACGTCCGTCATACGTCCGTCATACGTCCGTCATACGTCCGTCATACGTCCGTCATACGTCCGTCATACGTCCGTCATACGTCCGTCATACGTCCGTCATACGTCCGTCATACGTCCGTCATACGAGCGTATAACACTAATGTAAATGTCACCATTGGGAAACATGAAAAAATGTTACGCACGTCTGCTGCACATATAACGCGTACGTTCTGTAACACCTCCTGTGGGCGGCACGGTGGCTGAGTGGTTAGCACTCTTGCCTCTCAGCAAGAAGGTCCTGGGTTCGAGTCCCGGTTGGACCAGGGCCTTTCTGAGTGGAGTTTGCATGTTCTCCCCATGTCTGCGTAGGTTTCCTCCGGGTACTCCGGTTTCCCCTACCACTAAAAATATGTACAATAGGTCTGTGCCTCCTGTACTGGCCCCACTCCCAAAAATAACAATTGTAAACCGCTTTGAGACTCCGATGTGCAGTGAAAAGGCGGTATATAAATAAAGATTACTACTTACTTACTGTGGACATTCGCAGTGAGAATCCCTCTAATACACACACACAGATACACAGACACACACACACACACACACACAGACACACACACACACAGACACACACACACACAAACACAACACTGTCCTTCAGACTGCGGTGGTGTAACCTGCCCTCTCCCTGGGGGGCCGAGGGGAGGGCTCAGAGACATGGAGTGTCCTGAACTGCTGCAGATTCGGGATGTATGTTCTTTAAAACTGAAGTTTAATACTTTGTTGTTATTGAAAGCTTCATTACAGACGGTTGGTCTCTTCACATGTTTGACTTTAACGAGTGTGAGTTAAACAGATAATGATAACACTGGTCTCTATGAAAACAAGTGAGAATTTAGACTTTTCACAAATCAAGCTTGTTGCAGAGTCTTTCTCAATGACGCACAAAAGAGGATGAAGAAATATTTGTTATAAAGAGGTTTTTTCAAAAGTGGTTCTGGGTCCAAACACGGTTCTGGGTCCTCTTGGTTCCAGATGCTGTCGATGTTGAGGGGAGTGTATGTTTTTGGACCAGTCTAGTTTAGTCGCTGTGGACTTTTGAATGCACTGATTAAATGAATGGGGCTAATGCAGCTAACACATGCGCTAATGTTCCCTAATTTTCCCCGCGGCCATTTTTAAAAAAGCCACAGAAGGTAAAAGTGATGTCACATTAGCTTCATCAGGCGTAAAAAGGCGTGAATATGTCTCTGATATTTACAGTCTATGGAAAAACTCATATTTGCAAAGAAGATAAAGTCCTAAGCCCGGAGTGAAAGAGTGAAGTGGAAGCAGAGCAGAGATTTCCGAGTGTGGGTGATGCGATCATGTGTCTTGCTCAAGGTTTCCAAATGTAATACCCTCAGAAAGCTTAGTGTACGTGCTTCTGGAGTGTGCACGGCGACAAGTGGGACATAAATAATGGAAAATTGATTCAAAGGAAGCACGCAAGGAAGAGGGAAAACATGTAGAATGGCGTTCTGGTACGACGAAGAGGAGGAGACGACGGGCGAGCAAAGAGAAAGGAATGAAGATGAAAGATGGAGGCACAAGGAGCTCATTCGGAGTCCCGGCCCGAGAGGCGTGGAAGAAGGGATTTGGTTCTGAGCCTTGGTCCAGATCCCTGCCTGTTAGACTGACACAGCAACCACCCTGCCACCGGCCTAATCCCTCAAATAACCCTCCGCCACGGGAGCGCACACAAGCCGGGCCAGGATTGTGCACGGCTTCAAATAGACACAGTGCAGCGGGCGAGAGAGAGACAGGAAAAAAAGGGGGAAACCGTTAAAGGATGGATGACAGCTGAGGATTGTGGACATGGTAAAGGGGAAATCGGGACACGTAAAAGGACAGGGATGGGCTAAAAACAACATAGGTCCAAATTGGCGGCGACGGATGGTGAGAGAGGAGGAGAATGAAAGGGAGAGGCAGACGGAGGGCGAGCGAGGCTGGAGAGAGTGGAGAGAGAGTGGAGAGAGAGTGGCACTAATGAGTGTGGCTGCAGCCGGAGACCTGCCGGGTCCAAACCCTGATAGAGACACAGAGACTGAGGTCTGTGTTTGGACTTGACACCTGTGTGCTTCAGATACTCTGTTTCTGTGTCAAAAATATATGCGATAAAACGTGTAATTAAGAGTATTGTACAACATATGGTCTCTCTCTCTGGGGTCTCTCTCTCTGGGGTCTCGCTCTCTGGGGTCTCGCTCTCTGGGGTCTCGCTCTCTGGGGTCTCGCTCTCTGGTCTCTCTCTCAAGTCTCTCTCTCTGGTCTCTCTCTCTCTGGTCTTTCTCTGGTCTCTCTCCCTGGGTCTCTCTCTCTGTGGTCTCTCTCTCTGGTCTCTCTCTGGTCTCTCTCTGGTCTCTCTCTGGTCTCTCTCTCTGGTCTCTCTCTCTGGTCTCTCTCTCTGGTCTCTCTCTCTGGTCTCTCTCTCTCTCTCTGGTCTCTCTCTCTCTGGTCTCTCTCTGGTCTCTCTCTCTGGTCTCTCTCTGGTCTCTCTCTCTGGTCTCTCTCTCTGGTCTCTCTCTCTCTCTGGTCTCTCTCTCTCGCTCTCTGGTCTCTCTCTGCTCTCTCTCTGGTCTCTCTCTCTCTGGTCTCTCTCTGGTCTCTCTCTCTCTGGTCAATTGTGTGTGTGTATTTTTTTTTGTTAAATAAAATTTGGATTTTATTAAATTAAATGTGATTTTCAGACTTGCATATTGGGATCCCTCCTTCTTCATTGTCCGACTTGACCAGTGTTACTGAACCAGCCTTTATGGTACACATGCATTCATGGTCCATATAATAATCAATACATGTGGACATGTTTACTACCATCAGACAGAGTAATAATAATAATAATGAAGAGCTTGGTCTCAGTGCGATGGAAGCAGGTCTGTGTGAGGGAGGGCACTGCCACAGCATCTTTACCCTCTTTCTGCTTTGCTGCCTCCTCTTTCATCCCTCGCTCTTCCTCCTTTGCTCATTAGTATGATTGAATGCCCCCCTCCCTCCCTTGTCTGCTATCTGCCAGGGTCAGTGCACACACAGAGCATTCTCCAAGCCACAGCAACAGCCCAGCAGCCCACCACCAGCCCCCATTCTCCCTATCTTTCCCCCGCACAACATGCTGAGCCTCTGGGCACTTCTCTCAGCGAGCCTGGCCTCATTCCTAACATCCACAGAGCTGGAGGTTGTGGCCCTAAGTACCCGCCACCCCCCACCCCCACCACCACCATGCCCCCCCCCCCCCCCCCACTCCACATCCCAAGGAAAAGCAGAACGATGTTGTTTTAGCTTTAGCCTCTCTGCTCCTTCTCCCACTGCTCAGACTGAAACCTGGTCCACATTGATTGTTAAAGGGTGTGAAAGGGCAATCAATAGGACTTTACTGTGAGCAGGAAGCTATAGAGCCTATGGAGGGTCTGCAGGGTCTGGAGGGTCACAGGTCTCAAGGTACTTTACAGTGGGCATTTATGTACACTGGCACGATAGAATGAGGTGTAAAGAGTGCAGAGCAAAATACACTGCACGCATAGTCACACACGGCCCCTCCCGCCCCCGATGAGGGCCCTCTTTAAAAATTCATTCAGTCAATAATGACCCTTCGCCCTCCCAGTCTCTCCCAGGAGCTGCAGAGCTGCCTCCTCCCACACACACTCTCTCTTTCTGCACTCTCCTCCGCTCCCTTGTTTCTCTAAACACAAACAAACCCATCGTCTCCTCGGCCCGAGCTGCACTTTGATGCTTCGTTATTACTGTGCTTTTCTTATCAGGCTGAAACATCTCCCACATCGGACTCTTTGAATGTGCGGATTACCTGAAACACACACCTCTATCTTTAAAGGGAGAAGTCAAACTGAGCCTTTTCCAGTTGCTTCACAAATTAGCCATGTTATCTCTGACAAAGCACAGACAGACAGTGTTCTCGCTCTGCTCTGGGATAGTGTCCATTATCTGATTACTCATACTGCGTTATCACACATTCAAATATATAAATATATACATTTATACATATTAGGAAACTGGAGAGATCTCAAGACCTGAGGAATTGGATCTGATTCTGGGCAAAAAGCCAGAGCGGGTTCTGCTTTATGTTATTGCCGTGTTCATTTAGTGACATCACAATTAAGCTTTGCTAGAATTACGACAAATCAGTTTTTTCTCTAATAAATTATGAAGATTAATGATCAATTTCAGGATTTTTTTTAGTGCAGCAGCCAATCAGTGACGATGTAATCATGATTCACTGAGTCACATTCAACACTTTCCAAACACATGGTAATAATGTGGAAACGATGCAGATTAAGATTAAGATTTAGAGATAATTTATCCGTCCCACAGTGGGGAAATTTCAGTGTTGCATCACAAGTTAGTGAGGAGCACACAGCACAAGATAAAAGAACAATATCTCTACACTAATTAAAATAAAATCTCCAGCATCAAAGAACAAAACCTCTGTCGTGTTCATTACAGATGTGTGTACACGGAGCTGTCTCCATGTCCTCGCCTCAGTGACGTACGCACGGCCCTCACCTATGACCCCACCTGTGTCTGGTCCCATTACCACCCATTACCTCCATTCAGGGCAGGAGGGGGGGTCCCAGGGGGGGGCAGGGGCTCAGCGGGGCCCTGGCTCCTCCTCTCCATCCTGTTCTCTCATTCATCTATCATGAGCGGGCTGCTAAATGGAGCAGAGCTGTTCGCCTCTGACCCTCTTCAATGA